ACACGTGGAAGATTCAAAAAAAGCTTTGGAGAACTCGGAATTCATCACTGATGTCATTCTATGGCATATTGACAGTATGTTCCTTGTGCATCCTTACCTCCTGCCTGAAAGAACTCACAGCTCTCTCAGATTCTTGTTTTAAAGATTCTCCAGTCCTGACAGTGTCATGGTCTCCCTGCACTACTCTTGGTGAACTATATCCATCTTGTTCCACTGTGGAGTCACACGTGGCGGGTGAAAGGATGGACACGACCCTCAACCCATTTTCATTTCTTTTCCTAATCCTGTCCTCGTAACTGCTGGAGTTTTTTATAGCAAAAGGCATATGGCAAAAGGTTGGATTAATCAATGGATGAGGAATTGTTCTCCTCAGATGTCTTGTTCTCCTTATCCTTCACCATTTTTCCTTTTCATGGGTCAGGCAGAACCCAGCACTGTGACCCCACAGTGTGATGTTGCTGGGCATGGAGTAGCAAAATTCCAAAAATATGCGCCCCCAGCATGACAGGGGATTGAAGAGGAGCTCACTGACCCTCCTCTAGTAATAACTGGTTTTTGCAAACAGAAACACAAAACTAAGATTGTAGGATAAAATTATGAAACCTGATGGCTTGAATGCAGAATGCGTAAATTGATATCACAGACCAGCCACAGCAATAAATGGGTTGGACCAGGTTTGTTCTTTGTTATTAGATTTCTGAATTTGGTGTAGAAATATACTTTAAAAGACAGTTTATACTGTTGTATGAATTTGAGAAATCCAAACTAACCAGAACAGTGGAACAAGTTGAGCCTGAACAGCCTCACATTTCCCAGATCCTCACTCTTCATCCCATTCAAGACACAAGGCCATGAGCTCTCGTTAACCCAAGTACTAAGACCTTGCCAAGTTATTGCAGAGTGACCTCCGCAGGACATCAGCTGCCCCCTCAGCATTCCTGGGTGACACAATGAATGATGGACACCCAGTGGCACAGAAGAGGAGCCCAGTCATCACAAGGCACCGGCAAACCGCAGCCCAGGAGAGCCACAAAATGATCTCGCTGATGACATCGTAGTTCCCCAGTGCTCTGGTTATTTATTCACTCCTCCCTGACACACACAATCAAAATCCTCCCAAATACCAACTCATGAAAGCTGCCGCCAAGATCAGATGGACACGGCCTCAAGGGCAGGACATGGAAATGAAGAACATCAGAAAAGAAAACAATTCCCGGCTGATGACTTCATGCGAGCGTGGGCTAGGAAAGAGCTGCTGATCAATGCCCTAAGGCAATAGGACAAAGCTGTCCCCACCCATCCAGGACCAGCATAAAAGCTAGCCCACAACCTCTCTCCCTCACACACTCCTCCACACGCCTTCTCCTCCTGCTCCTGCTAACAACCAGGTGAGCCTCACTCCCCTGACCCTCCTGCTCCTGCACCCCTGGGTCCTCTCTTCCAGCACGCTCGGCCCCAGCCTCAGCAGCCTTCATATCTCCCCACAGCCCCACAACAGCCTCCACACTCCCTCACCCTCCTGCACCGGTTGCACCCCACGCACCTTCCAAGCCTCATCCTCTCTCTTCCAGGACCCTCCACACCACACCCATGGCCTGCAACAGCCTCTGCCGTCCCTGTGGACCCACCCCGCTGGCCAACAGCTGCAACGAGCCCTGTGCCCTGCAATGCCAGGATTCCCACGTTGTCATCAACCCTTCCCCTGTGCTGGTCACCCTGCCAGGACCCATCATGACCTCCTTCCCCCAGAACACCGCCGTTGGATCCACCTCCTCGGCTGCCGTGGGCACTGAACTCAGTGTGCAGGGACAGCCCATCTCTGGTGGATTTGGTGGATTTGGTGGCTTTGGCTATGGCCTTGGCTATGGCCGTGGATTTGGCTATGGGCTGGGAGGCCTGGGCTGCTATGGCAGAAGGGGTGGCTACATCTGCTGAGGGCCCTCGGCACCACCTCTGACACCAACCACCAGCTCAGCGCTCCGACAACAGCTCCTCCAAGCAAAGCACTTCAGCTGATCTTTGTCCTCCTTGCACCTCACAAAAATGTGGAGATTATTTATCTCTACTTTTATATCCTGGAGTTTCATTCTTGTGCCTCAATAAAGTTTTCCTGCATCAAACCTTGCATGCCTCCTTATCTTTTTTGCTCAAATGATCTGGCATTCTCTCCCAGCACATTCTACAGCTCAAAAGACGTTCAGGGTACCTGGAACAGGGTAGCAACACTTCTCCTTGCACATATCTCAAAAGAACAAATAACGAGTTTGGCATGGGACACACAGGAGGGGACACCTCGCAAAACTTTTCACACACCCTGCCAACTGCTACACCAAAGTCCTCAACTGACTGTTCAACTGTTGTTGAACAACAGTTCTCTTCTTAGCACGGAAATGGAAAAGTCATTCCATGCCAGTGTACACTTGTCAAAATCTCTTCCTGGCCAGGACTCTAGAAGCCTTCCAGCAAAGAGAGAAACAACATCAAGCAGCTGGGCAGGACCTCTGCAGTGCAAGTGCTTCATCTGCCCTGCACAAGCAAGACCAACAGGAGAACATTTCCAGCACCATGGACAGTTCAGATATCGCTCTCCCCGGATCGTGACTCCACCACCTCTTCCACTCTGTGGCCCCCCCTCACAATGAAAGAGTCTTCTTTATTTGCCCATCGAGTTCCATCTCTTTTCATTTCTGCTCTTGCCCTCTTGCCCTGCACGTGTGCACTGCTGAGAGCAGCCAGGCTCCTTCATCTTCATTCCCCACCATCAGGACTTTGCTCACACTGATGTCACACCCCTGTCCCTCCTTGCCCCCTGGGAGTCCCAGCTCTCTCAGCCTCTCCTCTAGGAATCATCCTTCAGGCCCATTTGTATCTGGCTGGCCCTGAGCTGCTCTCACCTGGGAGTCCAGAACTGCCCACAACCCCTCACATGGGACCTCAGCAGTGCTGAGCAAACACCAACAGTCACCTCCCACTACCTCATCCCAACACTTCTCCAGATCCTGCCCTGGAAACTTGGCATCCCTTTTCCCACAAGGGTACAGGGACACCTCCTGCTCCATTTCTTCTCACCCACAATCATGAAGGCTTTTTGGAAAAGAATTGTCCAAACTGACAGCCACATATTCCTTCCTACCTGGCATGACTTACAGCCACATATTCCTTCCTACCTGGCATGACTTCCTTGTTCCTCTCAAGAAACAGCCCGTGGCAGATGCCCTTGCTGTGCTCCAGCAAATGTCCAGGACCACTCGGGTTTTCCATGTTGGCAGAAGGATCCAAGTCCTGGGCTACAGCACTGGGGATTTGCTGCCACGTGGACTTTGGGACACTGACCACAAGCCTCTGGGTCCCGTTTTTCAGACCCTTCTCAGGCCACCACACTGGGCACTGGTGTCAAAGAAGAGATTTGCCTGGTTGTCAAGGATCGGGTAGTGCTCGCCTCCAACAACCCATGTCAACCTCCAAATCCTCTTTCTGACAACCACAAGTGTCCTCACCCCTTTGTACTCAGACCCAGTAAGGAACCCAAAGGCCCCAGATATCAAAACCCTAAAGGCAAGAGGGGTTCCAAGATGCTCACAGAGCACAGCCAACAGGAAAGATCAGGTCTAGTGTCAGGCTTATGTCCCAAGTGGGATCATGGTGGGAAGGCTTGGAATGTGGGGGAAGGGGCAACAGCTCTACACACCCTCAGATCCCAGAGCATCCTGTCAGGGCTGAGAGGGAATGAGGCTACTTTTCAGAACACCCCCACAAACCACAGCACACGGGTGACCTTGCAGGTGATGACCACACCTCCCTGAAGTTTTGGTTGTTTTTTCAGCCCTCCCTGACACTCACCTTCAGGTTAAACCCTCCCAAATGCCACTAACCCTCGCATACCAATAACTCACACTTGAAATTGCCTTCAAGGTCAGAAGGACAGGGCCTCAAGAAGAGGACATGGAATTGTGGAATTCCATAAAGTCACACCCGCATCATGACAGAGAGGGAAAGGGGAGCATGCTGACCTTCAGGTAGCAATTACTGGGTTTTGCTTACAGGAACACAATATTACAATTCACAGGATATAAATCATTATGAAACCTGATGGTTTAAATGAGGAATAAGGGAATTAACGCCACAAACCAGCCTGGGAACAAAGGGATCAGGCCCCGTTTGTTGTTTGTTGTTGGATTTCTGAATGAGGTCATGGAACACACTTACATGTAAGAGTATGTTGAAATTAAAATTTGAGAAATCAAAATGGACCATAAAAATGGAACAGCTGAACAGCTTCTTATTTACTAGATCTTGTGATCCCATGCAAGACACAAGTCCAAGAGCTCTCTTTCATCCATCAGGAAGAGCTCCCAGGCACTGGGATCTTTCCAAGCAGTTCCAGGGTGACCTCCCCAGGACATCAGCAGCTCCCTCAGCATTCCTGGGTGACACAAAATGAGTGACAGACTTGCAGTGGCACAGAACAGAGTCCCGGTCTTCACAAGGCACCGACAAACCACAGCACACAAGTGCCACAAAATGACCTCACTGATAACATTGCAAATCTCCAGGGCTCTGGTTGTTTATTCATTCCTCCCTGACACACATCTGACAATGAAATTCTCCCAAATACCAACCCATGAAAATTACAACCAAAATCAGATGGACACGGACTCAAGAGCAGGACATGGAACTACAGAACATCAGGAAGGAAAACACTCCCCACCTCATGACCTCATGCCAGGCTGGGGCAGCAAAGAGCTGCTGCCTGTGAAATGCCCCAAGGCTGCAGGACAAGGCTGTCCCGCCCCTCCAGGACCAGCATAAAAGCCAGCCTAGAGCCTCTCTCCCTCACACACTTCTCCTCACGCCTTCTACTCCAGCTTCTGCTGACAACCAGGTGAGCCTCAAACCCCTGACCCTCCTGCTCCTGCCCTCTTGGACCCTCTCTGCCAGCATGCTCAGCCCCAGCCTCAGCAGCCCTCACACCTCCCCACAGCCCCACAACAGCCTCCACATTCCCTCACTCTCCTGCATCTCTGCCTCTCATACTGCCACATCCCTGCCCTGCCTCACCCCCCTCTCTTCCAGGGACCCTCCACACCACACCCATGGCCTGCTATGACTCCTGCCGTCCCTGTGGACCCACCCCGCTGGCCAACAGCTGCAACGAGCCCTGTGCCCTGCAATGCCAGGATTCCCGTGTCATCATCAACCCTTCCCCTGTGCTGGTCACCATGCCAGGACCCATCATGACCTCCTTCCCCCAGAACACCGCCGTTGGATCCACCTCCTCGGCTGCCGTGGGCACTGAACTCAGTGTGCAGGGACAGCCCATCTCTGGTGGATTTGGTGGCTTTGGTGGCTTTGGCTACGGCCTTGGCTATGGCCGTGGATTTGGCTACGGGCTGGGCTGTGGCTATGGGCTGGGAGGCCTGGGCTGCTATGGCAGAAGGGGTGGCTACATCTGCTAAAGGCCCTCAGCAGCAACCCTGACATCAACCACCAGCTCCCTGGAACACATCTCAGGCATTGAAGATGCCTCTCTGGGTTATGGGTCTCGTAGCGGCTCAGCACTTCCAGCTTCTGCTCTCAGGGCACCAAGCAAGGCAGTAGCCGAGGGTCAAGCCCAGGCTGCCTGCAATCATGGCCCATCTGCCTCCTGGTCTTCTCCCACTCCCTGCTCTGTGAGGCCTCTTTGGCTCTGTCCAGCTCCCTCTGCTGCAAGCCCCTTCTCTGAATCCAGGGACCCTTGGACACGTTAGCTGGGCTGCTCCCACTGTGGGGCAGAAGGCTTTGATGCTCTAGCCAAACCTCCAAGCAAAGCTACTCTGCTGATGGTCACCCTGCTCTCAACCCAGACCAGCTCCCTTCCTCTTGTTTCTCCTGAGTTTTCACTCTTCTACCTCAATAAAGTTTTCTTGCATCACAACTTCACATGGTTATTTCTTTCTTGTCTCGGGACTTTTCCAGTTTTACTCAGCGCTAAGGCAAGCTTGTGTGGGCAACTGATGGTGTTGAAACAGTGCAGCAAGGCCTGTCTTAGGAAATATGGCTTCAGTTCCACTACTCCCAGCACAGTTTAGCCTTCCATTGCATCACACAAGCCCTTCACTTGCTTGAAATCAGGCCTGGATACACTAGTGAAGGTTTTTGCCTGTTCTAACAGAAGGCCCTCATGGTCTCTGTGTTCACTTTTGTCTCCAGCCCCTCATCATTTCCAAGGCTCTTCTCCAGGTCTGCTTGAGCAGGTCCTTATCTTCCTTCTCATGAATAGCCCAGCCTGGCAGGTCATCAGCTGGGGATTCCTTGTCTTCCCCACATCCACAGTGTCATGTCCTGCTCTTGGGTCATGTCCATCCAACCTTGGCAGAAGCTTTTAAGTGCGAGTTTTAGAGAAAATATTCTGGTATTTATGGCTCATGAAAGGGTGGGCTGAAGATGTGACCAAAGCTTTGGAGAAGTGGGGTGTAATCACTGAGGTTGATTTTGGGAATCAAGACTTGACAACTGAAATTGCAGAGATATGTTTTATTGCCAGCTAGGACACATGGGGGGGATACCTCCTCCAAACCATGAGTACCTGGTCAAGACAGGTTCTAGGTATAAATACACATTGATCCCACAAGCCCACGCATCCCTGCCTATCTGTTCTCCACCTTTTCTCGCTTGGCATTATAATTAGCTGACATGCTTCCTGGTTTCTAGAGCCACAGGTTCACGCTTTGCTGGGTTTTCACAATACCTAGGTCTTGCTTTACTAAGTTTTCATAATATATTTTATCTTAATGCTTTTTCCTAGCGACTAAGTTCCTATGCAGTTTGTCACAAACTGTTTCTGCTATGTGTTCTATTTCTCTTCTGCCTGCTTAAGCATATTAAAAACTTCTAAAATTCCGAATTTTCAAAACCATATATGTTTCTCATTTCAAGGTCATGCTGTGGTACTTCTGTGCTGTGGTTTGTGGGTGTGTGGGGAAGAGTTGCCCCCACACTCTGTCAGTCCTGTCAGGCTGTTCTGCATTTTGCAGCTGGGCCAAGTAGGAGGTGTTGTACCTTTAGTTGACATTCCCTCCCTCCATGCTTTTCTCCCAGCTGGCAATGGCTAACACTGGACCACCTTTTTCCTGTTGGTTGTGCTTTGTGTGTGTCTTGATGCCCCTCTTGCTTCTACAGGTTCTTTTGGGTTGTTTCATGGGCTAAAGACTGAGGCCGTTTCCCTGGGCGATGTCTGGTTGTCAGAAAGAGGATAGGGTGATTGCACTGGGTTGTTGGAGGAGAGCACTACTCGATCCTTGACAACCAGGCAAATCTCTTCTTTGACACCAGTGCCCAGCATGGTGGCCAGAGAAGGGTCTGAAAAACAGGACCCAGAGGCTTGTGGTCAGTGTCCCAAAGTCCACATGGCAGCAAATCCCCAGTGCTGTAGCCCAGGACTTGGATCCTTCTGCCAACATGGAAAACCCGAGTGGTCCTGGACATTTGCTGGAGCACAGCAAGGGCATCTGCCACGGGCTGTTTCTTGAGAGGAACAAGGAAGTCATGCCAGGTAGGAAGGAATATGTGGGTGTCAGTTTGGACAATTCTTTTCCAAAAAGCCTTTGTGATTGTGGGTGAGAAGAAATGGAGCAGGAGGTGTCCCTGTACCCTTGTGGGAAAAGGGATGCCAAGTTTCCAGGGCAGGATNGCTACATCTGCTAAGGGACCTCGGCACCACCTCTGACACCACCAGCTCGTTGCATTGACAATATCTCCCGCAAGCCAAGCACCTGGGCTGATGGTCAGCCGACTTTCTTCCTCACACCCAATTCCTTCAGCTTCTTCTTTCTCATCATTCTAGTACTTCAATAAATTTGCCTTGCATCAGAACCTGAGTTGCCTCCTTGTTTTTTTGGAATTCCAATGATCTCACATCCTCACGGCGTGTAATGCCAGCACTCAACCATTATGATGGATATAAAAGGAGGAAAGAACCGTTCTTAGCAAATACCTCCCCGCCAGTAACAACCAACACTGACACAGGAAACAGAGGACAAGGGGGGGCCTTCCAGAACATGACACAAGCCCATCACCTGATACACCAAAGACCTTGACACAACAATTCTCTCCTGGGAACTGCTCTGCCAAAGGTCACTCCATGCCAGCACACACTTAGAAACATTCTCTTCCCAGCTGCACTCTTGAATCCTCCCAGGACACAGACCAATAACATCATACACTCTAAAGAGAGGAATGGCCACCTCTAACAACTTGATGGCAACAATTTTCAGAAATCTGTCTTCGACATTGCAGACATCATCTAAAGTAAAGCTCCACTGCGACTTTGTGATTTCTGTGTTCTCCACCAGCCGCTTTCCCGTCTCTCAGTACATGGTATGACCTGGGCCCAATGCCATTCCTGCCCACATGCAGAACATCACTTTTTCCACTCTTGAAATACAGAAAATTGCATTCAACTCTATACTCCAGATGCCTCTGACAGGTGGCAAAGCCAAGAGGTGCCTCAGACACTCCAGTATCCACCAACTTGCGCAGGAGGCAACTCTCCCACTGCCCACATGGAATGGAAGAGTCCAGGAGCTCACACCTGGCACAGATTCAAAGCCCAGACCAGCCCGACAGACCTGGGATAGTTTGGGGCTCCTCTTCACAACACACGCATGAACATAGAACCATGAGTTCCATGATGTTGACTCACTGATGACACTGCACCTCTCCAAATATTGGTCACCTCTTCAATCCCCTTTCACATGCACCATCAACACCATACTCTGCTCTCAAACACTCACACTTTAAAGGAAGAATGACCGCAATGGAAGGGGCAGCTCCTCATGCACGGCACAGTTGCAAAGCCCAGACCAGCCTGACATGGCTGTGATGGAATGGGGCCCCTCTTCACAACACACCCACAAACTAAACCACACTACTGCCACAAAATGACCTCACTGATGACACCCTTACTTTTCCTCGGCTTTTGTTGTATATTCTGGTTTTTCTGACACACATCTTCCAAGAAAATCCTCCCAAATAGCAACTCTCACTTAAAAGCTCTTCCAAGAAAATCCTCCCAAATAGCAACTCTCACTTAAAAGCCAATGCCAAGGTCAGATGGGCATGGCCTCAAGAGCAGGACATGAAACTGCACAGCAGTGGTGAGGAACAAGCTCCCCACATCATGATTCACAAGTTTTGCCAGAGAAAACCGATTTTAGTTTCCGTTTGCGTACCTCTACTGAGTAAAAAATTCAACCCTATTTTTCTCAAAAGTGAATATCTGCAGTTCCTCCAGCTGCTCCTCACATGTCTTCTTCTTATTCTGCGCCACTTTTAACTGCCCAATTTCACTCAGAGCCCACCAATGGAAGCCCAGAACCTCACGAGCAGGGCTCAGCAGAGACCAGCACTGTGGATGAACCAACACAAGCCATTGCTCGGCAGGGGAGGCGTCACAGGGATTGTTTTCCCATATCCAGCAGGAAAGACATTCTAAACAGTTGGGTTTAGAATGTCGGCAACAAGATAGGGAGGGAGAGGATGTGATGGAAGAGGAAATCGGTCACCTCCAGAAGAGCCCCAAAGCCTAGAGGAGCCTGACTTGGACTATGGGGAATGAGGACCCTCTCCACAAGACACCCACAAACCACAGCACACCAGGGCCAGGGGGTGACCTCACTCATGACACCTCACTCTCCAAAGCTCTGCTCACATCTACAGCCCTCCACAAAAAACATCATCATCAACAGCCTTTGGTCTCTAATACTTGCATTTAAAAGCTGCCGTCAAGGTCAGATGGACAGGGACTCAAAAGAAGGACATGACAGTGCAGAGTTGTGGGATGGAAAACACTCCCCACCACATGACCCATCATTCTGAGACATCTAGGAAATGTTACCTGCAAAATGCCCCAAGGCCGCAGGACAAGGTAGTCCCACCCCTCCAGAACCAACATAAAAGCCGGCCCAGTGCCTCTGTCCCTCACACATTTCTCCAGACACCTTCTCCTCCTGCTGTCAGCCAGGTGAG